GTGCTCTACAGGTGTCTCCGAAGGTACTGTTGGGTTGGCGTATTTCGAGATTAGGATTTGTCACTCCAATTGTCGGAGAAGTATCCCTGGGCCCACTCGGTAATGCACATCACTATAAGCCTTGCAAGCATTACAACTAATGAGTTAGTTGCGGGATGATGTATTACGGAACGAGTAAAGAGACTTGCTGGTGACAAGATTGAACTAGGTATTGAGATACCGACGATCGAATCTCGGGCAAGTAACATACCGATGACAAAGGGAACAACGTATGTTGTTATGCGGTCTGACCGATAAAGATCTTCATAGAATATGTAGGAGCCAATATGGGCATCCAGGTCCCGCTATTGGTTATTAACCAGAGAGGTGTCTCAGTCATGTCTACATAGTTCTCGAACCCGTAGGGTCCGCACGCTTAACGTTCGTTGATGATATAGTACTATGAGTTATATATGTTGGTGACCGAATGTTGTTCGGAGTTCTGGATAAGATCACGGACATGACAAGGAACTCCGGAATGGTCCGGAGATAAAGATTGATATATGGGATAATAGTTTTTGGACTCCGGAAGGGTTCCGGAATTCACCAGAAGGGGTTCCGGATGTTTCCCGAAATGTTTGGGTACGAGAACACTTTATTTGGGCCAAAGGGGAAAGCCCACAAGGTTTTTGTAAAGCGCAAAAGGAAGTTTTGCGGAGTCCAGGGGCCAGACGCCAGGGTCCCTGGCGTCTGGGTCCAGACGCCGGGAACCTTGGCGTCTGGCCCTGGAATCCGAGAAGGACTCTTACTTTTCGGGTGAAACCGACTTTGTGGAGGCTTTTACTCCAAGTTTCGACCCCAAGTCTCAACATATAAATAGAGGGGTAGGGCTAGCACACAAGATAGATCAAGAAACACCAAGTCGTGTGCTGGCAACCCCGTCCCCTCTAGTTTATCCTTCGTCATAGTTTTCGTAGTGCTTAGGCGAAGCCCTGCGGAGATTGTTCTTCATCAACACCGTCACCACGCCATCGTGCTGCCGGAACTCATCTACTACTTCACCCCTCTTGCAGGATCGAGAAGACGAGGACGTCATCGAGCCGAACGTGTGTAGAACTCGGAGGTGCCGTGCTTTCGGTACTTGGATCGGTCGGATCGTGAAGACGTACGACTACATCAACTGTGTTGATATAACGCTTTCGTGAACGGTCTACGAGGGTACGTAGACAACACTCTCTCCTCTCGTTGCTATGCATCACCATGATCCTGCGTGTGCGTAGGAATTTTTTTGAAATTACTACGTTCCCCAACAGTTTCTTTAGCAAAAGCTTGCTATACACCCTAGCTTAAAGGGGGGCTTCCTCCCGTGGGTTCAATAACTCAGGGTCACCTCTGGGGAAATAGGTGAGAGTACTTTCTGCTCCATTTTTGGATCACTAAAGGAAGTAATCACTTGCCAACCTTTTCGTTATCCAGGTGAGAGTCTGGTGGGTGTAGGGGACGAGGCACTAGTCGATGAGTTGCCGACAACCCGGGACCTGACCATCATCCTAGCTTCAGCGCGTTGTCGGGGGAGACAACCCCCCTGCAGCGTGATGGTGTAGGACTTCTTCTTGTTGCACTCCATGTGGCGTCGTTTCAAGTAGGAGGCACGTGGACCTTGGGTGCGATGATGGGGATGTGGGTGGGGTACTTGGCGCCCACCACATCAGGCTCGTTGGAGTTAGCCTCGAAGCTAGCCTTGACGGTGGCGGTGGAGTCATGGTCCAGCCACCGGAGGAACCGCGACATACACACATGGCCACATGCCAGGCGTCGCCCAACGTCGTGTCCTCCTTGGCGACCCGGAGGTGGTCGCGTTGTCACTAGTTTAGTCATGTCGTGCATGCCGACTATGGCCGGAATCCAACGTGTTGCTTTAATACTAGAGATGGTTGAGACCCCACATGTCATTGTGTGTAGATAATTTGTGAGGGGTTAAATTTAGGGATCGACTAGATGAAGAAAAGTTTAATTAAAAAAATACTCCATCCGTTCATAAATATAAAATATTTTGGATATTTCAATGTTTTTTTGAAAGACCCAGCGTCGTTGTCATTCATTGATAATAGTAAAGAGCAATGAAAAAAATAAGGTGGTGAAGTTTCTAGGACCAGAAGAACCAAAGATCAAAGAAAAAGAAACAACAACAGGCCTAATAGCTGCAAGACAACACTCCATACAATCCACACTAGACAACGTAACATTCCATACAATCCACACTAGACAACGTAGCTCCGACTCCGACGGTGAACCACGAAGAAACTAGGCAAGGTTGGTGTCACGGAGGATCACCGAACGAACCACCTATCGCGCGTCATCGTATACCACCGGCCCCCCACCGCAGCTTCGACTTCACAGCACCAGACAGTCGAGGCATTTCCACGGACACGCCGGAGAAGAAAAGTCGACTACCACGACCAAAGCCACGCCTCTGATGTTGCTCACCGCCGTCATTGTTGCTAGAGAAGCCACCGTGCATGTCCAGTAGTAGGAAGCACCAAAGGGATCAAAGTCTTCAAGACGACACCCTAAAGAGGGGAACGACGTTGAAGACGATGCCACCGTCTGACCCTACAACAGGATGTGGGCTTTTCACCTGAAGGACTTGATCCGGGGGTAGAGGTTGTGAAGATTCCCGACGACGCCTCCAAGGAGGATAGCGGCGCCCACATGCGTTGTCGCCGCCGGCCGGCCAGGACCGGCCAGGCTTTCACTCGTTGCAGCCACTCTCACGCAGCAGGCCGAGATCGACCCGTATCTCCATTGGACCGCACACCCCCCACACACAGCGAGCACGCCACCATTGTGCAGGGCCACCAGCAAACCTTTAATTCAGAAATGAGTGAATAAACACACAATGACGTGTCTATGTACATCCGATTTAGAAAAAACAACAACAGATGAAGTAATTTTTAAAGAATGGAGATAGGACGGGGGTTAAAATCTCGAAGAACGTAGCTAATTCCCACACATGTACCCAATTCACCAATGATCGACTACGAGGATTTCGAGCGATACACGTTCAATGAAAGGAGACGTTCTCGTCAACTACGAGACGCCTACCGTAACTTCATAAAATCTCAAGATAACATACCGGCTCAGTCTCTTGGAGGTGCTCATAGAGGTAGGATGTACGTGTATGCGTTTATAGGGATGAATGTATGCGCGTATATATAAGTGCTTTTATTTGTGTTGTGTTAAAAAAGTTCTCAAATGATAACGCCCACACGTGTGGCATGTTTGCACATCGCTCACACGCCTTGATCCACATTGATTCTATTTTGCACGAATCCTAAAGAAATTTGTTAGAATCTGAGTGCCACATGGGCATCATTGTGTGTGGGGGCGTTGGAGAGTTCGCCCACACGTCCCACGGCACGCGGTTTGCCAGCTGCGTTGTGTGGGAGAACTAGTTTCTGCGCACACAGTCACCACCTAGTCCACGCGCATATGGACGAACTGCTTTTCGTCCACACGACACTCGTACGTTGTTGGATGACAACTGCAGTTGCGCGTATGTAGCAACTAGGTAAACATACATGACAACTATGATTCGTTGGTAGACGGCAATTGCAGTTGTGCATACGTGGCAACCAGATAAACACACATGACAACTGTGATTAGGGGTGGAATTCGAGCCGAGTCAAGCCAGCTCGACTCAACTCGCTAAAACTCGTTTCATTAACGAGCTAGCTCGACTCGACTCGTTACTATAACGAGCTCAAATCCAAGATTGGCTCGACTCATATAACTCGCGAACTGGCTCGTTTAGCTTGTTAAGCTCGTTAAAGATATGAACATTAGACCTTACAAATACGATAAAAAGATTAACTGAGAATTTAGCATGTGCATATGTGGTCATGTCCGTGTGAGTCTCCTGGGTGGCTCGGCCTTGAGCGACTGGGCCTTGTACTGGGACGTAAGGTGTTTAGTGACTATATTTTACTACCCCTAAAAAACATTGATTTTTTACCAAGCTTAACGAGTTATCCGAGTACTCGTGAGTTTGGCTCGTTTAACTTAGTATATAAACGATCTTAAACAAAAGCTCGGCTCGGCTCGTTATTCTTTGAGTTCGAGTTGATTCGAGCCGAGTCACGAGCTACTCGTTTAGCTCGCGGATTTCGAGCTTTTTTTTCCAGCCCTAAGTGTGATTAACTATACATGATAACTATGATTGGACCACATGTGGCAACTAAGTAAACACACATGGCAACTATTGTTTAACCATATGTGGCAAGTAGTTAATCACACACGGCAACTATGGTTTGTTTACACGCGACAACTACCATAAATTAGACAAGACAGCTATACCTAACCAAAACAGCGAGAGTTGCCATGCTTTTACGGCTACATTTACCATCCCGGATAACTACATTTGTCATCTTGGATGACAATTAAATCATCATCTCGCATGTACTTAACGTAGCCGCGTCAGGGCGTGTGGACATATTTGCTTCGTGCCACACGCGCGAGGTGAGGATGAGTAATAGTTGTTGGGTGTGTGGCACGAAGTAGCTGCTCCCACATATGTAAGCAATTCTAATATTCATCCACACATAGCTCATGTAGCTGTCTTCTACTCACGCCATGTATGGTATGTGGCGCATGTCTTATCAGGACCCATAAAAGTTCACCAATGATTGACACCGTGCATGAAAGTAAACATATATAGACCGTAACTAGGAGGGGCTTAACGCGAAAGGCACAAACGCAGTCGTTTATTTTCGTTTTATACACGCGCACGCACAAATTGTTGTAGGATACACGTTGAGTTTCGTGGAGAATTTAACGTGTTCCTCCCGTCTCCCCCTCAGCTTCCAACTCGCCCGTCATCTTCATCTCCCCCCCTCACGCGAAATCCAAATCCAAACGAAACAAAAGCCCCCAATCGTAAGTCTTCTCCGCACCTGATCCTCCCCAACTCCCGCGCCGCCCGATTCGATCCGGCGCCGGGCCGCCGATCCCCCCGCGGCGGCATGGAGGGGGCCGATCACCTGTACCCCTCGACCGAGCCGTACGACCTCGCGCCCCCGCAGCTCGACGACGACGCCACCGCCGCGGGAGGCGGCGGTGAGGCTAGGGTTTGCGACCCGCCGGTGAGGTGGGACGAGGAGCCCAAGGAGGTAAGAATCGAGCTGCCCCTTATCCGATTCGTCCCCCGTTGAGTTCGCCCTCTGTAGATTGGAATAGCCGGGTTGCGTGATGGGTTGTATGTCTGGGCTGGATTGCAATTGCGGAGTCTCGCGTCTGGTTAGCCGTAGCATTGGCGCGTTAAGGATTGCCGTATTGGGTGCTTAGGATCAAGGGGGCAGAACACTTCGTGAAAAGGTACAGATTTTATGCTGGTTGCACCTGCAGTTCTATCGGTGCGGGGAGTAGCAGCTCTACGTGTTGTTGGGGATGTCGAGGGTCTGAGCGATTGAATTTCTTGCCTTTGCACCTGCGTTTTGGTTTGAAGTTTGTTGTGTCTGCGGTTTGAAGGTTTGCCATTGGGATTGACGCACAAAATGCATCTTTTCCAATCAGGTTTTGGTCTTATAGTCTGTTTTCTGTACTGAGTTTAGTACGTGAGTGGCGAGCAGTATGTTGTATATGCCACTCTATAAGGAAATGTGGGTGGATAAATTTATTGTCTTATGTTCTATGTTTAGAAACATGGATGCATATATTTGGAAATGCATGCCTTGCCTACCATCAATAAATGAGAGTTCCTTGCAATAGTAAGCAGTTGACTGGAACTCATTTTCTTTCCAATTCATGCCCATAATCGTATTTGTATGCAATTGTTACTGTGGTCATATTTAAAAAATGCTCTGATTTCTTGTTAAATCAGGGAACCCACATATGCGAGCAAGGGGTAAAAGATGATCGTGAGGAAAATGACACGGAAGACCACCTTAGTGTTGTCAATATTTATGAGAGCGATGATGAAATGACCACCTTGAAGGAATCAGGAGAAAACGTCCATTCTGATTGCCCACTTCGTCAACAAACTGGCATCTGGGTACCTCCTTCTGTTCCACCGATGACAAAGCATGATCATGAGGAGTGGCAAAAGGGCTTTGTCTCAAATGCTGGCTACTTCGTAGAAGACGAATATAAGTGGGATATAGATGAAGACATTAGGGAGATGACAATGTGGGATGTGTTCGCTGAGATGGCTGTTGCAGGAAAAGATAAATTATTATCTGTTGCATCATATGATTTTGGGAGGCATAGCATGTCTCTAGTTTCACACTTCCTTCTTCAAGCGGCTTTGGAGGATAACTCTCAAACACTTGCAGAGGCCAGTGTTGGTTCTGAACATGCTCTGCTTGAGACAGAACCGACAAAGTGGTTGCCTGATAGTGCTGCTCCTTCTTGCATGCTTTGTGGAGCACGCTTCCATCCAGTAATTTGCTCTCGCCATCATTGTCGTTTTTGTGGTGGGATATTCTGTGGCGGCTGTTCAAAGGGTAGAAGCTTGATGCCTCCAAAATTCGGAACTTCAGATCCTCAAAGGGTCTGTGATGTTTGTGGAGTACGTCTTGAGTGTATTCAGCCTTACTTGATGAGCCAGATAAGTCGTGCTTGTCAACTTCCGACTAAAGATTTGACAGACCTGAGCACCTTGAGGTCATGGTTAAACCTCCCATGGGCACCAACGATGGAGTATGAGATATACAAGGCTGCAAATTCCATACATGGGTATTGTAAGGTATGCCTATCCTATAATTTAGTACTCCCTCCGTCCCAAAATAACTTTCTCAACTCTAGTACAATTTGTACTTAAGTTAGTACAAAGTTGAGGCACTTATTTTGAGACGGAGGGAGCGCCTGTTTATGTTCACTAATTTGGTCCAGCTAGTATTTGGGATCAACTAGAACACTACTCACCAAGCTTTTCATGATTAAATGCATTTTTTAGGTTGGAAAGCTGAATCCAGAGAAGTCCATTCCTGATTCAATTCTTAGACAAGCAAAGGGGCTTGCTATAATTACTGTGGTAAAGGTTGGAATGATGGTCACGTACAAAATTGGTACTGGGCTGGTCATTGCTCACAGAGCTGATGGTTCTTGGTCCCCTCCTTCAGCCATATCTACTTGTGGTGTTGGATATGGTGCTCAGGTCAGTGGCCTCTCAAGTGTTCTATTTCCATCAAAGAATCTTGTGTATTATTATAAAGTCCTGATAGCGTATGGAATATTTCCCGGCATTCTGCATTTCAGGCTGGCGCTGAGTTAGCTGACTTCATCATTGTTCTGAGGAACACTGATGCAATTAAAACATTCAGTGGAAATGCACATCTGTCACTTGGTGCTGGTTTCGGTGCTTCTGCTGGTCATCTTGGAAGGGTGGCAGAGGCTGATTTCCATGCCGGTGATGGAGGTTATGCTGCCTGTTACACATACAGTTGTAGCAAAGGTATGGCTGAAATCATCAGTAGCTGAGCAGGACATGACTTTGTTCTTTTAATTTTATCTGTTCAAATTTCTCCTGGACAATATTTTTCCAGTTTGCTGATTCTGTTTAAAAAACAGGGCGGTAAAAAGATGGAAACAATTTCTCTAGAGTACCACTTAGTTCTTAGAGTAGATGCCACTATGCCAGGTCCCGTTATTTTTTCCCAAATGATAAATGCCACACGTGGCACGAAGCACTCCGGCCCTGATGTTTTTTACAACTAAAGTTGCCATCAAAAAAGAAAAAACAAGCCCCCCAAAAGATTGAAACTTGCCATCCGAAAAGAAAGTTGCCATGCTTGACAACTAAAAGCTGCCATCCTCACGTCACTATACTTGCCATAAAAAACGTTTGGAGTTGCCAGGTGTTCGTGCCACACGTGTGGCACTTATCAGGGATTCAGGGTCCTTATTTTTTAGTTTTGAATGATGAATACTAATATGTGTGTGTTTTACATTGTTAACCATCATCTCCTTATTTCACATTAAACTTGGCATTGTTGGTTCCGCCAAATTGGTTAGTATATACTCCCTCTGTCCCGAATTCACAGAAATGGATGTACATAGAACTAAAAATACGCCTAGATGCATTCATTTCTACGACAAGTAATTCGGTATGGAGGGAGTAGCTTTTACAAATTGCTTTTGTAACTCGGGAACTAGTATTAGTCACCAACCAATATATAATCAGATACTACTGAGTTTTATTGTGATTGTCTGTAAAAGTAGTTTGATGTTTACACGTATATACAACATTCCTGAAGGCTCTAGCTTCTTATGATAATTTGTGATCTAGACCAAGAATTTTATTCCTGAGAAAATGGTCTATAGACCTTTAGGCTTTAGCCATGGTACGATATGTGGTGGCCACATACCCTGGTTATTGGTCCTATGGCCAAATATACACTAGTGTATTCAAATTTGTACTTCTGTCCTCTGGGCAGTTGAACAAAATGAAATCGTGATGGTCAAGTCTAACAACTGCTGGTTTCCACAGTACATTCTGACCACTTGTTAAATTAACATGCGGTATAGAAGTATCTGAGTAACAAATTGTTACATATAAGTTGTACTGCATTCGGGGTGGGCTACATCACCTGTTGGATTTGGCACAAACGGTTAGGATGACAGCATGTATGGATGGTTTTAACTTTGCACAGACAGTGGTACAATCTTCTTAAACATGGAGTACTTTAAGTCTAGCAATGCACCAACATGTGCTATAACTTGCAAAATGTATTTGTGCATCTTTGTGGCCGAAAACCGTGACATAGCATGCAGTTTATGTTGCTCAATTCTGACTTCTTGAACTGAAAAAAGTGCAGTTGTACTTTGGACCGTTTTATCAGTATTAGCTGTGTAATTATTATTTGCTTCTGTAAACAGTTATTAGTATAATTATTGGGTATCATTTCACAATGATATGTTCAATATTGTACCACCTCCATACCAAAATATAAGACCTTTTTTGGCTAGTTTAGCCTACAAAAACGTCCTATATTTTGATACGGAGGTAATAGCATATATAATCTCTTATGATTTCAGTTATTACAAAAGCTGGGTGCATACTGATGTCCAACCAAGTGTAGTTCTTTTATAATGTTTGTTTGGAATGTTACATTTGTACCATTGGTGACAATGATAAGTACATCTGGTAATCTGTACTGGATCGGTCATACAGAGTTTCTGTTTCGCTCACTTGTGATGTTTACATCTTTTTCTTTCTCTGGCAGGCGCCTTTGTGGGATGCGCACTCAATGGAAGTGTAGTATCAACCCGAAACAACGAAAATGCCCGATTCTATGGCGGTCCAGTCAAGGCATCAGAAATCCTTCTTGGTTCACTGGCCAAGCCACCTGCCGCCGCCACTCTCTATAAAGCTCTATCCACACTGTTTGATAAGATCGGAAAATAGTCTTGGTCTTTTTATGTGGTGACACACATTGTGTCCCTCCCTGTTGGTCGTGACCCTTGGAGCTTCAGTGTCTCTAGGTAATCTGCTTGTTTGCTAATTCCTGGGTGTCAGTCAAGCAACTGTATAGTCTGCCATTCGTTGGTACGTCAAACAGGTCATCTATCCTGTGCCAGAAACTACTCTGTAAATGTTGTACATATGATCACAATTGCGCGAGAAATGAAAGTGAAAAGAAAAGAAAAATATTGCTCATCAGTCTTGCCCTTGATTGAAACTTGCCTGGCATCGTACTGTTGCAATATGAGCGCTCACTCGTCTCTGTTTCACCTAGACCATTTATGGTTGTCTCAAAAAAAAGACCTAGACCATTTATGGACTCCTGGCATTTTTCTTGATATTCTATAATGAATGTGTAATTGTCTTATACGAATCACAGCTAGGTTTATGTTAGGGATCAATTTCTATAGATCACTGGAAGTATAGCCAAAAGGACCTCTAGGTTCATGAAAAGTGACCATCTTTTGTACCGCAGCACTCCGTGTTTTCAGTTTGAAGCCTGTGATGGGGTAATTTATTTGCTTCTGGCGGTGCCGTACATGACCATGCACTGGGATGATAGTAATTTTTGCTACCCAGTTTCATCATGATGGCAATAGATGATAGTAGCAGCATGTGCTATGTGTGCATGTATGTACTATTTCTCTGGGGCTTGCGGCTGCGGGCAGCTTTTTTCAGTTGGCTGCCGCTGACCCATCATGACGGCAGGCCTGCATGGAGATTGTGCCATGGATGTGTTGTGTGCTACTCAGATTCCGATCTGACATGCTTGGATCAATCTGGTCATATAATCATCACAGACCCTGCTCACACTCAACAAAACTTGAGGTTATATATTTATACATTTGATCTAAAAAGAGGACAAATTGTCAGTCAACACTCAGCAGGTTGCTGTTTTAGATCTGATATATAACAAGCTATTGAAGGCTTTGAAGCCGGGCGTCCGATGATGGGTTTAAATCGGACTAGCGAGTGTGATCTGATGCACTAATTTTTGTGATGCACTAATTTTTGAGACAAGAGTCATGATCAGCTGGGGCTGGGGGTATGGGGTTAGAGCAACTCTAGCAGACCCCGCATTTTGTCGATCTGTAAACTGTGTTTGCAGGTCGCACGGGGAAGCTTATGCAGGCTGAAAATTGCGGCGGTAGAACAGAAACCGCAAACAAACCTGTAATTTTTTTAAAAAGTTATTTCGTGATATGGAGCTCACGGGGATGCACTAATTTAAGCGGCAGCTCGCCGGAGCTCGCTTGCATAGATGGTTTTTCTTCGCATAATAAGTTCGTACACTCCACATACATACATATTAAGGTCACATATGCTAGACAGGGTCTACGCTACCGCACCACTACAACAAAATTGAGCTCACCGGAGCTCCTGGCGGTAGCTGCCCACCGGCGGCGATCAGTTGGAGTCAGAGTCGACCTCGATGTAGAGCTTCGCCTGCTCCGCCTTCATCACGCGCAGGTCAGCCTCCTTCGATGCGTGCGCTTGCAATGTTGTGACGCCCGTCTCGAGGAAGAGCCGCTCGTACTCGAGCTCGCGCCGGATGCGCTCTTCCATCTTCTCCTGCTCCCTCGCCGACCGCTCGAGGATGACGCGCTCGAGGAGCTCCTCCTGCCCCCGAGGAGCTCGACGCGCTCGATGACCCCTCGGTGCGACGGCGCATCGGGCATGGCCTCCTCCGGCTCCCTCTTCACCGAAACGAGCCGCGAGCTCGATGCGCCCGCGGATGATCACCCCACGGAACCGTGGCCGGATGAGCTCCCTGCGGACCAGTTGCCGGAGGAGGTGTGGCGGCGACGGGCGAGCTCAAGATTGAAGTCCTCGAGCTCGCGGCGGTTGAATGCCGGCGGCGGCTGGGCACCCTGGTTAAGCCACCGACGAGCCCTCCGCTTGCGTGCGCCGTCAGATCTAGCGCGGCGGCGGCGCTCCGCCTCATCCCCCGAGTCGTCTATGGCGGTCCAAGGCTCGCCGGGGGTGACAAATCGAGCGGCGCGGTGGGGAATTGGAGGGGAACGCGGCTGCAGGGGATAGGGTTTCGACCCGCATCTGCCCCGCAAACCCGCAGTTAGATCAACTCTAGTAGACCCCGCATCCTCCCGGCCCACAAAACGTGTTTGCAGTTCACGCAAAAATGCCTTTGCGGGCCGGCGCGGACGACCACAGTTGCAGGCCCCGCATAATGGACGGAATATCCTTTTTTACAGGTCGGCTTTGCGGCGTCTGATCTGGGGCAGCTCCTCTCGGCCCGCAAAATTTAGATTTGCAACTTAAATTGATCTAGCATAATGCATTTCTTTACTTTTGCAACAACATTAGACACAAAAGACATCACCAAATCTTTGCTAGAATAGCAAAACCAAAGAAAACAAGAACCACAAGTATGCATTTCAGAAGATTTCCAACTTCCATAATTGCTCCCACAAGTTGGACTAATATCTTCTCCATGCATTCATTGTTGATCTGCGGATTCTTGATTTTGCATTCTTCTTTCTTCATCTTTGGTTCGAAAGAAGTAGACGTTTGATGACCCACAAGTGTAGGGGATATATCGTAGCCTTTTCGATAAGTAAGAGTGTCGAACCCAATGAGGAGCAGAAGGAAATGATAAGCGGTTTTCAGCAAGGTATTCTCTGCGAGCACTGAAATTATCGGTAACAAATAGTTTTGTGATAAGGTAATTTGTAACGAGTAACAAGTAATAAAAGTAAATAAGGTGCAGCAAGATGGCACAATCCTTTTTGTAGCAAAGGACAAGTTTGGACGACCTCTTATATAAAGGAAAGCGCTCCCGAGGACACATGGGAATTATCGTCAAGCTAGTTTTCATCACGTTCATATGATTCGCGTTCGGTACTTCGATAATTTGATATGTGGGTGGACCGGTGCTTGGGTACTGTCCTTCATTGGACAAGCATCCCACTTATGATTAACCCCTATTGCAAGCATCCGCAACTACAACAGAAGTATTAAGATAAACCTAACCATAGCATGAAACATATGGATCCAAATCAGCCCCTTACAAAGCAACATATAAATTAGGATTTAAGCTTGTGTCACTCTAGCAACCCATCATCTACTTATTACTTCCCAATGCCTTCGCCTACGCCCAAACAATGATGAGGTGTCATGTAGTCGATGTTCACATGACACCACTAGAGGAAAGACAACATACATCTCATCAAAATATCGAACGAATGCCAAATTCACATGACTACTTATAGCAAGGCTTCTCTCATGTCCTCAGGAACAAACGTAACTACTCACAAATCATATTCATGTTCATAATCAGAGGGGTATTAATATGCATAAAGGATTTGAATATATGATCTTCCACCGAATAAACCAACTAGCATCAACTACAAGGAGTAATCAACACTACTAGCAACCCACAGGTACCAATCTGAGGCTTTGGGACAAAGATTGGATACAAGAGATGAACTAGGGTTTGAGAGGAGATGGTGTTGGTGAAGATGTTGATGGAGATTGACCCCCTCCCGATGAGAGGATCGATGGTGATGACATCGGTGACGATTTCCCCCTCCAGGAGGGAAGTTTCCCCGGCAGAACAGCTCCGCCGGAGCCCTAGATTGGTTCCGCCAAGGTTCCGCCTCGTGACAGTGGGGTTTCTTCCTGAAAGCTTGCTTATGATTTTTTCCTCGACGAAAGACTTCATATAGCTAAAGATGGGCATCTGAGGGCTGCCAGGGGGCCCACGAGGCAGGGGGACACGCCCAGGGGGGTAGGGCGCGCCCCCCACCCTCGTGGACGGTGGGTGGCCCCCCTCTGGTACTTCTTTCGCCCAATATTTTTTATATATTCTGAAACGTGCTCCCGTGAAGTTTCAGGACTTTTGGAGTTGTGCAGAATAGGTCTCTAATATTTGCTCCTCTTTCAGCCCAGAATTCCAGCTGCCGGCATTCTCCCTTTTCATGCAAACCTTGTAAAATAAGAGAGAATAGGCATAAGTATTGTGACATATTGTGTAATAACAGCCCATAATGCAATAAATGTCGATATAAAAGCATGATGCAAAATGGACGTATCAACTCCCCCAAGCTTAGACCTCGCTTGTCCTCAAGCGAAAGCCGAAATCAAAAAATATGTCCACATGTTTAGAGATAGAGGTGTCGATAAAATACAATACGGACATGAGGGCATCATGATCATTCTTAGAACAGCAACATATACATATATTGTCATATGATCTCTTATGCTAAAGTAACAATTCAATCATAATTTCAAGTATGAATCAGAAACTTCATTGAGAACCAACAAACTATAATCTCAGTCATTGAAGCAATTGCAATTTATCATAACATAGGAAAGAGTCAATATAAGAGCTTTTCAGCAAGTCCACATACTCAACCATCATTTAGTCTTTCACAATTGCTAACACTCACGCAATATTTATGGGTATGAAATTTTAATCGGACACAGAGAAAGATAGGGGCTTATAGTTTTGCCTCCCAACCTTTTACCTCAAGGGTAATGTCAACAATAATAGTTCATGAAGACTTACATCCAATTAACTATATATATCAGGATCTTTCCAACACATTATGCTTGCCAAAGGATAAAATATAAAAAGGAAAGGTGAAGATCACCATGACTCTTGTATGAAGTATAAGACAAGAATAAAAGATAGGCCCTTTGCAGAGGGAATCAGAGGTTGTCATGTGCTTTAATGGTTGGATGCACAAAATCTTAATGCGAAAGAACGTCACTTTATATTGCCACTTGTGATATGGACCTTTATTATGCAGTCCGTCGCTTTTATTTCTTCCACATCACAAGATCGTATAAAATTATTTTATCCACACTAATAAGTCATACATATTTAGAGAGCAATTTTTATTGCTTGCAACGATGACAACTTACTTGAAGGATCTTACTCAATCCATAGGTAGATATGGTGGACTCTCATGGCAAAACTA